GACTGCAGCCTACTTAGGAATTGGTGTACACCAGGTCACACAAGTCACTGACAGAGCTATAAACAAATCCTGAGTATCCCGGCTCTTGGGCCTGTGAAACATCCATCAAACTGAAGTCCCTTTCTTACATTATGCATGTAATGTGTTTACGGCAGGTGGGCAGGGAAGGTTTTATACTAAATTTTAAACCAGTAAAATTCAGGTTCTGAACACGGATATTCCTGAAGTCTTATAATGTATCAACATTGAAAATTAGTAAGTAGCAGATGTTTTCCTTGGTATATAACTTTTAGCTGAAGGGCAGTCCTAAACCATCAACAGAAAGTACTTATGATAATTCTTCATAAGTTTTTTTTACTATTATTCCATTTAAAAATTAATCTTAGAACATTTAATTGCAACACTTAAACTTCACACCCACCATTTTGATTCATTTTCTTGCCCATTACTTTCTTTCACATACAGTTACAAGTGGTTAACATTACCAAAATGGCTATTACTTATGAAAGAGCATGCAAAGAGTTTTCTCAAACTGTTTTCTTCATCTCCCAGTCTGCACAAACACAGAGGCAATGTCATTACAGTACCTTTTTAAGGCAAAATAAAACTCTCAAACTCTTCCAGTTGGGAATTTCAGCCTATTTCTAGTAAAGCTTTACTTCACATTCAAGCAGATACTGAAAATATATTAGAGTGGAAAATCAGAATACATTGTTGTTGTCTTTTGTAGGCAGTTCTAAAGCTGCCCTGAGAATGCCTCCTCCTGAGCTTGGCAAAGCTGAAAGAATTTTCTTCAGCACATAGGATCCCACTTGCTTGTGCATGTGCATGGATTAATACACTGCTAGGCAAGCACAAGCATGCTGCAATAGCTGTGTAGAAGCTGGATGTGCCACACAAAATGTCACATTGACGTTCTTCTGTCTGCCTGCATGCCTGGGTAGACATTGACAATTCATATCAACCCCGGCAGGAAGAGCTTCACAGGATTTAATGGAGTTGTATCATTTAGATATGTCTAATCTGAGTCCTGATTTTCTGATATTGAGTGAAATAATAAAAATAGGTTTTCATCCTGTTTCTCATTAATTACTATGAGTAAGCATTTCCATATGGCACAATGGAATCATAGAATAATTTATGTTCAAAAAGACCCTTAAGATCATTGTGTCCTACCGTAAACCTAACTCTGTCTAGTCCACCATCAAATCACGTCCCTCAGCACCACATCTACATCTTTTAAATATCTTCAGGGATGGTGATTCAACCACCCCCCTGGGCAGCCTGTTTGGGTGTTTGATAACCTTTTCAGTGAAGAAGTTCATAATAATTTCCAATCTAAATCTCCTTTGTCACAATTCAAGGTGATTTTCTTCTGTCCTATCACTTGTTAGTAAGGAGGAAAGACCAACACTCACCTTGCTACAATATCCTTTCAGGTAGTTGTAGAGAGCAATAAGATCTCCCTTCAGCCTCCCTTCCTCCAGGCTAAACAACCCCAGTTCCCTCATCCACTTCTCATAAGACTTCTGCTCTAAACCCTTCACCAGCTTTTTTAATAAAGCATTTCCTATGGTCTAGACAACAGAGTTACAACATTTACATAGCTTTTTCCTTTTAAAATTGCAATTACTCCATTAGTCAGTGCAGTCTGCATTCTTTAGTATCTAATAGCTCAAATAAAGTAATGAGAAAAGAACAGCTCTCAGCAGTCATCCCTAATAAAGGACAGTTTTTCACATACAAGCCTCCTGTATGCAAACTTTCATGGGAACAGTAGATAAACAGCAAGTGACACAGTGTAAGGATATATATAAGCAGATCTTGAGTCACCCCAGTTACTAGGGTACATTACAGCCGAGAATAACATCTTATGCAATGTATAGTGGTTTGTTCCTTGCCACATTTAAAACTGCTCCTGTACCATAGGGATAGATGCGTTATAAGACTCCGTGTAGATCTGAAGAGAAAGAAGAGTTGCACTGGGTATGTCTGCCCAGCAGTTTCCTGAAGGGGCTTTGGTAATAGTTATTCATACTGCAGGGGAGACTTTTTCTTCTAAGCTGATGGAGGTTTAACATGGCATTCATAGAAAACTTACGTGATTATATACTCCTGTAGTTCCCCTTTTTCTCCTTATCACCTTACTTTATCACCTCTTACTTTAGGTTAGCTCTCTTATTGCATTTGAAATTTCAGGGTACTAAAAACTGCAGTTTTTAAGGCATGGGCCATCTCCTCTCAATTGCTTCTGCATCATCGTTCCCACTGGAGCCTTAGCTTCACAAAAATCTCTGACTACTGCTGCCATACAAACAATAAAAAAAAGCAACTAAATGTGTTGCCATATAGAAAGGGAAAGATTCTGCAACCCTGCCAGAACATGTAACTTTCTATCATCTGGAATATTAGAAAGATATTTCAAGACTGTATATAATTTTAAATAACTTGAAAAACCATATGACCAAAGAACATGAAGCAAACATGAAGTAGAAAAGAACCTACTATTCCTCATGGTAAAGTATGCTTAAAAAAACCCGATATTTCAGTAGTTATTAAGTCTTTTCTCCCCTCACACCAGCTGTCTGAGAGCTAATCTAATTGCTCAACACACGAATTTCCTAAGTAGGTAGAAAAAAAACCTACTCAGACAGCCTGTTTAAACGCATTTAGAAAGCACTGGCTCCTCTGATCTTTCAGGGAAACGTTTTTCTTTCCAGATAGCTGTAGAGGAACGAATTGCAAGGCTAATGGTCTGAATGCACCAGCTGGGATTGCTGCACAGCAGCAGCCTGCTGTGAGCAGCAGTGAGGGACTGCGAACATGGGCACCCCGACCCACAGGCCGGTGTCAAACCAGCACTGAGAAAGGGCACTGATGCAAATAAAAACCAAAATATGCCCAGGAGATTTATTTCCATCATAAAGTACACATATGATTAATTTAGGGCTTTTCTAATATACTGTGTGCATATGGTGTGCATATCTGGTTGTTGGGAAGTTTTCTGCCTGCCTATGTAGGCTTACTTTGATAGACAGCTGAAAGGAAAAGTAAGCATGAAAGAAAATCAGTGGCTTGAAATAACCAAAGACTCTCCAAAAAAATGGCAGATTTGAATTTTCCAGTGTGCATACAAACTAATTTTTCCAAGAAAGCCAAATCCTGCAAATGCAGAGTTCCGACCTTAGGAACAGATCTCTGTCCCAAGTAAGAAGTACCTGTTTAGGTCCTGCCAGCCACGTAGTCTTTTTCAGAGATCCCAGTCTCTGGAATAAGTCTGCAAAAGGAAGTGGGCATCATGCGGGTATTACCCTTTTTGTAACACTACCCTGGTGTTAAAATGCTGGTTTGTTGCTGAATGCTATTAGCTGTACATTTTCACAGCAGCTAGGTGTCTTCTTTGGATGATACAAAGGGCAGAGGTAGTGGACAAGAAGGGGATAGTTGTGTGAGTAGGGACAGATGCTCGTCTTCGCTTGCAAATGTGACTCTCATACCATATTCCTTCTGCTTTCATTCCCACACAGTGTAGGTGCAATTTAAAACCATGTTCTGCTGTAATGCATTCCAAGGAAAGGAGAATAAATGCCCTGCTGAAAAAGGCAGCTGAAAAGGTTCAGTGCTGTGTTTCTGCTTCTGGGAAGCGGGGAAAAATGGGACAGGACAAACCTAAAAGGTTTTGTCATGTTATTGCTTCTTCAACAATGGTAGGCTCTGCAGCAATCTGTTACTTATTTCTGTATTTCTGATCTTTGTGTGGATCAAAGTCCAGGACTGATCCAATTTCTGTTAAGGCTTATTTTTATTTAGTACATGTTACAGGACTTAGTAATTCAGCACATGGCCCAACACCCGGGGAACTTTTTAATTACACTTAAAATATATATACTCTCACAGACCAAAGGGAGCCAAAGGCCAGAGGACTGTAAGTCAGACCAATTAGAAACACAAAAAGCTTAGGTGTGCGTTGCTACCAGAGGTAAACATTTCAAGATGCTGTGGCTGCTGATTGAGAGGAACCTAGTGGAAATTGATACATTCCCTCAGTGTTGCCTAGAAACCGAGAGCACAGTTAAGATATGTTTCTAAAACCACTCGCTTACATTTGGGTGTTTTAATTATCTACATGGTAGATAGTTCCTAGCATAGGAACAAGAGGGTGGAGACGATGGGAAATCCCTCATTTGGGGTGCACAGAACAGCCTGCTTCTTGCATGGTGGGTACTGCAGGCTGAGAACTCAGGGACCTGAAATTCGGCCAAAATAAGTATTTTAGAAGTAGAAAAATACTGCTTTTCCAGTTTACTTTTGTAGTCGATTTCTAAGGTGCTGTTTAAAGACCCCGAGAATTAATTTATTCAGCGTTACGCTCCAGGCTCTCGATTTGTCATTTTTTCCTCTGCCATTCGCCTTAAATCGCTCCCTGCCATCCATTACTCTTCGACTTCCCGTCAAGTTACAAGCAATAAAGCTTAAACCATTAGGACACCTTTCACTGACGGGGCAAAAGCTTCGCCGGGCCGCTACGCACATCTCGAAGCGGTATCTTGGGGCAGCGCCCGAGGGGAGCGGGGGCGCCCGCGGCGTCCGGAGCCTCCTCCGCACGGCCAGCCCGGCAGCGGCACCGGCTAGCCCGGCAGCGGG